ACACAAAATAAGTGGGCACATTGATAGAACCTCCTCTATAAATTTCCTATATCTTAGTCACATAACAGAGTTAAGACATCTGTCTTTGCTCATTTTTTTCCCCTCTATGGACAACATAATATGTTGGGAAGGGCTTTCCAGGAGGGCACAACTGGGGTATAAATCTTACATCACTGGGCAAGTTTCCACCTCTAGGCCTCAGCTTCCCTATCTGTAAAACAGAGATAATCCTACCTGCCTTCATGCCTTACAATCGTCACGAATAATCCTGTACACAAAAGGCCTAGGACATATGTAGGTGCTTTACGATATTATCTTTCTTCCAGTTTCTCATATTTTTTAAGGCACTCAAATACATCAATTTTAACATTTTTCTATATACACATTTGCTACTGAAAATTGAAATAGCACATTGAAATACTTTTATTGCAACTAAAATTTTCAAAAAACCAGAAAATCAAATTAATTATTATGCTATAGCCAAATTATGTAATGTTTTCTTTTCTTTTTGAGACAGGGTCTTACGCTGTCACCCAGGCTGGACTGTAGCGGAACAATCACAGTTAAGGATCGGTCTCCTGGGCTCAAGTGATCTTACTGCCTCAGCTTCCCGAGTAGCTGGAACTATGTGTGAGCACCACCACACCCAGCTAATTTTTAAATTTTTTGTAGAGATGAGGTCTTGCTGTGTTGTCCAGGCTGGTCTCAAACTGGTCTCAAGTGATCCTTCCACCTCAGCCTCCCAAAGTGCTGAGATCACAGGTGTGAGCCATTGCCCCAATGGTATCTTTATATTATTTCCTCACAAGTTACTTCAAATTCTTGATGTTGAATTTCATCTCACTGACTTCAGGCTTTTAAAACACATGGGAATGCTTGAGACCTATGGATAGTTGTGAGTCAAATAAAAAAGTAGAGCTAAAGTATACTGAAGTTATTCAAATACATTCAAACTGTAAGATCCCTTATAAATTACTGGCATCAAGGTAGGAAGGAAAAGATACAGGAAGTAAAATGCATCACTCATCACAGGTTGTCAAAATTATTGGTATACAGTTTATCCTAACACAGAGCAGGTTTCTTAACCGTCTCCATAAAATTACCAGCAAGAAAGAAAAGTACAAGAATAAGGTTCACAGCTGAATTGGCTTGGTGTCCTAATTCCCTATTCCAGTATTCTCAGAAGGATCCCATCTATGATATATGCAGAAATCACAGCCACATTTGAATGGTTCAATCTTGATTCATTCTGAACTCCCTTAAGCCCAGCAGTTTCTCATTCTTAAAAGGTAGGTTATTAAACCCCAAAAGCAATTTTCATAACAAATTTACATTTGTATATTTAAGAATATGCATTAAGGCCGGGAGTGCTGGCTCACGCCAGTAATCCCAGCACTTTGGGAGGCCAAGGTGGGCGGATCACAAGGTCAGGAGATCAAGACCATTCTGGCCAACATGGTGAAACCGCATCTCTACTAAAAATAAAAAAGTTAGCTGGGTGTGGTGGCACACACCTGTAGCTCCCCAGCAACTCGGAAGGGTGAGGCAGGAGAATCGGTTGAACCCAGGAGGCGGAGATTACAGTAAGCTGAAATTGCACCACCGCACTCCAGCCTGGCAACAAAGCGAGACTCCATCTAAAAAAAAAAAAAAAAAAAAAAGAATATGCATTAAGCAAGACAATATAAATCTCCAATTACAAAATCAGTAAGAAAGGTAACTGTTCTTACACTTGCGAGATGAACATGAAGATTTGAACAGGCCGTAAATAGTCTGGCTGGGGGTTTTGAAGCAGGATGTCTTGGAAGCCAGTAGATTGTAAAGTTGTCCAAGAGACCCAGAGCCCCACTCAAAAGTCCAATCCTCCCACAGTCACTGTCTATCCCAAGACAAAGTCCAAAAAAGCTAATTAGTACCCACATCCAGCGCTAAGTCACACAAGAATAAATCTCTCCATGGGCCCTGTGCAGGTCAGGCCAGAAGAGCAAGGACAACTCAGGATACTCCATTTATTGAACTCCAAATCTAACAAAATTAAGATCTCTGCAGAGTGTTTCAAGAGAACCTTGACTCTGTTCCCACTGCTATGCTCACTAAAGTCAGCTCACTTATGTTTCCGTAGCCTCTGTATCTGTAGCTTCTGCATCTGTTTTCTGAGAAGCTAAGAGGACTTCACATGCCCGTTTCCTTCGCAGTCTCTCAGCATTTGTGATCATCATAGGATGCAGAGGGAAAAAGCCAGCAAGACCTAAAAGCAACAGATTTTTCACTTATTATAACACCGTATAAGCCAATGCTTCCCTAGGAACTCTGTCTCACAGAACTGAGGTCTGAGATCTGACCCAGTGCATGGATGCAAACCATGCTCCTCACTTGCCAAACTCTACTGCTTCTCCCCGGCAAGGAGACAGTAGATGTCTACTTCCTAATAATATTCCCCTTACTTTAAAAAAGATAAACTGACAGATGACCATTCAAAACATACCATTCCCATTTTTAGCATAAAATACCAGTCACCCAAAAAGTCTTACAAAGGAGTCCACAAAAGGGGCCTCCAGATTCAAAATGCCAATTAGATCACAACTTCAGCTCCCACTTCAGTCCTGAGCAGTGTAGAGGGAATGAAAATAATTCTTTTTTTTTCTTTGAGATGGAATCTCCCTCTGTTGCCCAGACTGGAGAGCAGTGATGCGCTCTTGGCTCACTGCAACCTCCGACTACTGGGTTCAAGTGATTCTCCTGCCTCAGCCTCCCCAATAGCTGGGACTACAGGCGTGTGCCACCACGCCCAGCTAATTTTTTTTTTTTAGTAGAGACGAGGTTTCACCACGTTGGCCAGGCTGGTCTCGAACTCTTGACCTTAAGTGATCCACCCGCCTCGGCCTCCCAAAATGCTGCGATTACACGCATGAGCCACCACGCCCCGCCAAAAATCATTCTTATACCCACTGTCCTGGAGCTGACTTCAGTTTAAAATCTCCTCAATAAGATAAGACCAGAACTGAGTTACCCAGAAGCTTTTCCATAGGCTTAGTGAGGTGGGCCCCGCAGCCAATCCAATGACAGATCCTGTCTAGGTTGAGGGCAACGATTTTTTCTCCATGACTGTTGGGCAATGGATCATAGGATCCCAGCTGCTCTACGAAACGGCCATCCCTGGGACACTTGTTGTGAGCAACCACAATGCGGTAGAAGGGCCGGTTGGTGCAGCCACCCAGGGCAAGGCGGATAGTTAAGTGGCCTCCACGGTAGGACTTGTAGAGGAGAGGACCTGTAGAAAAGCAGGTGGTTAGGACACACACACAAAAAAAAACAGCACAGAAAAGGCAAAATGACACAGACAGCACAGTTTCCTTTTTCCACTGAAATGTCTCACTTCCAATCTATTCCTGTCAATTCAGTTTAGACGCTATTCTTCTTTGTGAAACCCCTCTTGGCCACTCCAGCCAGCAATGACCTCCTCCTCATACCCAAACCCACTCGGCATGGGCTTCCCATTCACTAGGCTCTGTGACCTTGTGCGAACCTTAGCTGCTTCAGTGGGGTGGAAATTTTTCACCAGTGATTAAGTGGGGAAAAAACTGAGAGGAGGATCAAATGTAAGGCAGTGTGGCTGATTCAGGTTCGGGTTGCCTCCATCGCGCCTGGGAGAGCACCGCCCCACCCGGCCCCGAACTCCCGAGCCCCGTGACCGCCCGGTACGTCTCGCGGGGACCCGATGACTTACTGAGGTGGACCATGGCGCCGCCGGCATACGGCTCCTCGGAGCGCCCCGCTACCCGCACGCACCAGCTCTACGGCCTTAGCAAGGCAGAAGACAGACAGAAACAAACTGCAGGCCGCACCGCCTAGCCGTCCAAAGCCCGAAAACCTTGACTCCGGAAGCGGATGGTCCACTCGCCCCGCCTCTTCCGCTTGCCGCCCTATACTTCCCACAATGCAACACGGTGACCCCTAACGTACCTTAAACTGCTGCAAAAGAGGCGTTTCTCGTGGTGTCTTGTGGGCGTGACGGTGCGATCCCGGCTGGAGTCAGAAGTTTTGGGCGAATCCCAGGCGCTCCAAGAGAAATGCTACACCATCCATCCATCTTGCAGGCGTTGCTGCCCAGGCGCAACGCTGAGAAGGCAAATACTAAAGGGCGCTGTCCTTTCCTCGTGGAGCTCACAGTCCGCTGGGGAGACCGTGAGATGACAGCGGAGAAACTAGGGCGATCAATAGTACTCAGTGCAAGGAGAGCGAGCAGAGAAGGCAGACTTAATGCTTGCTGAGGAAGACTTCACAGAGGAGGTAGTGTCAGGGCTGAGACTAGAAGAAGGATTATAAGTGACTAGAGTTTACTTTATCCTTCTCGTTAACTAAAACTAATTTACCTCTCACCTTTCCTCCTATTGTCATCCACCCCTGTCGAGGCAATCACACCTTAAAAAATAAAGGAGAGGTTATTCCTGCTTTTGCCGTGCTGTGATCCAGGGCAGAGGTGAAGTGTGATTTTTTTTTTTTTTTAAACATCTGTAGCCCTAGAATATGGTCTCAGTGATGAGGGTAATGGTGTCTCCTTGGAGCCCTAGTGGTTTAGATCCATGAAGATGCCTGTGAGAAGGTGTCAGTAGTGAGAAGGTGTCAATAGCTCCACCTTCAGCAAAGACCTCTCTATTCAGCTTTTTTCGTTTATTGTTAGTTCCAAAGGGCTAACATGCTCTTTGCCCTAATACAGTGACCCAGCATAGCAGTCTTCCTCCAGGGCCACCTTTGAAAATGATGCCTTAATTCTTGTATTTCAGTTAACTGAACCTGGCCAGAGACCTTAGCACCAGACTTCCTCCAGGAGTGATCCAATAAGCTTTCATCAGAAACCCTAATAATGACCCCACTATACCTTAATTTTATTATATGTATATATATGCCATATAATTATAGCAATTACACTATAGTTATTTATATAACTAAATACCTACATATAATTCAGTATACGTTAACTCCAGAACCACACTGATGAATTTTGAGTTTCATATCTTCATTTTTTATTGTGACCCAGTTTCTTGTCAACCAGTAAAACATCCAGTAACACAGCCAATGGAAATAAATGAATGGGTCTCTGTTTATGGTGAAGATTCTTTCGTTCTCCAGCTCCAGACTTCATATGGTGAAACTATCTGGGAAGGAAAGGAACTCAAGAGTCCCATACGGAAAATTGTTCAGCTGGAGGGGTATCAGAAAGATGGATTTCCAAAGCCAACTGTTTCCTGTAGTGTGTGGATCTCTGCAAGCAGAGCCTCATCTTTCAATTTCAGCTACATGAAAGAGAAAGAAAGGGAAATATATATGTCATACGTGATATACTTTATGTGGCTTTGAAGACCCCTCTTTTGTGGGGCTACAGCTAAAGAACATAGTTCCCGGGGATGGAATTGGCTCTTCCTCTTTCCCTACTTCGTGAAAACTCCAGTAGAAGACCTTAGAACCTTGTCCTGGTTACATGGATATGTTTACTTTGTGAAAATTCATCAAGCAATTTGAACAGTCATGATTTGTACATTTTTTTGTAAGATAACTTCATTAAAGTCTACTTTTTTATTTTTAAAAAGTGTTCACATTATTACCAGCATCTCTTGGCTAATGCATAGTATTCCCATCTGGCAAGTGATATCAGGGAATCAGAGACAGAAATCATAGACTTATATTAGATCTGGGTTTAGTTTTAGAATCTAGATATGTAGTAGAGGCATCTAGGAGCCTACTGAATACCGATTTTTTCTTAGTAACAAAATCTTAATTTCTTTTCAAGGCAGCAATGCAATCAGCTAAAAAGCCACATTTTCCTGCTTCCCATGCAGCTAGAGGTAGTCATGACCAATTGTGGCCCAATTAAATGTAAACTAAAGTCATTGGGTAGGACACCTGGAGAAGCCCTTTATTTAGGGAAAGTCCTTTAAAGGGAAGTGAAGTAGCATGGCCCCTTTTTCCTTTTTCCCTTATTGTTCTTTATCTTGCCTGAGACATGGATATGATAGCAAGTTACACTGGCTGTCTTGCAACTATGAGGGATAGAAACTGCATGCTACAATTAGTGCAGCACAAAGATAGATGTTGGGTTCCTTGATGACATTGTGGAGCTGTGGTATGAGCCCTGGACTTTTCATTAGATGAGAAAAAACTAACTTGTTTAAACCACTGTCTTTCAAGTCAAGTTACTTGGAATTCATAACTAATAGAACAGGCCAGGCATGGTGGCCCCCACCTGTAATTCCAACACTTTGGGAGGCTGAAGTGGGTAGATCACTTGAGACCAGGAGTTTGAGACCAGCCCGGCCAACATAGCAAAGCCCTGTCTCTATTAAAATTACAAAAATTAGGCCGGGCGCGGTGGCTCAAGCCTGTAATCCCAGGACTTTGGGAGGCCGAGATGGGCGGATCACGAGGTCAGGAGATCGAGACCATCCTGGCTAACACGGTGAAACCCCGTCTCTACTAAGAAATACAAAAAATAGCCGGGCGAGGTGGCAGTGCCTGTAGTCCCAGCTACTCGGGAGGCTGAGGCCGGAGAATGGCATGAACCCGGGAGGCGGAGCTTGCAATGAGCTGAGATCCGGCCACTGCACTCCAGCCTGGGCGACAGCGCGAGACTCCGTCTCAAAAAAAATAAATAAATAAAATAAATAAATAAAAATACAAAAATTAGCTGGACATGGTGGCACATACCTGTAATCCCAGCTACGTGGGAGGCTGAGGCACAAGAATCGCTTGAACCGGGAGGTGGGGGTTGCAGTGAGCTAAGATCGTGCTACTGCACTCCAGCCTGGGCAACAGTGCAAGACTCTGTCTCAAAATATATATGTATATGTAACTGACAGAACAGACCAGGGGTTGTTCATGAGCCAAATCCAGCTCATTACCTGTTGTTTATTTGTTTGTTTTTGAGACGGAGTCTTGCTCTGTCGCCCAGGCTGGAGTGCAGTGGCATGATCTCGGCTCACTGCAAGCTCCACCTCCTGGGTTCACACCATTCTCCTGCCTCAGCCTCCTGAGTAGCTGGGACCACAGGTGCCAGCCACCACATCCTGCTAATTTTTTTGTATTTTTAGTAGAGACGGGTTTTCACCGTTAGCCAGGATGGTCTCCACTTCCTGACATTGTGATCCAGCCACCTCAGCCTCCCAAAGTGCTGGGATTACAGGCGTGAGCCACCATGCCCAGCCACTACCCGTTTTTTTGTAAGTAAAATTGTACTGGAATACAGCCATTCACTTATATATTATCTACAGCTGCTTTTGTACTACAAGTGCAGAGTTCAGTAGTTGCAACAGACTATTTGGCCTTATCCCCCAAAATTTCCTATTTTGCCCTTTACAGAAAATGTTTGCTGACCCCCTAGACTAGACCAACCCCTACATATTACACAAGGAAAATGAAGCCCACAATATTAACACAGTAAGTTAATGGCAAAATCAGAATCATAATTCAGGTTGACTCCCAGGCTACCTTTCTATTAACTATTATATATTCTCTCTAAAGAGTTGGAAGAAAGATCACCCATGATAATACATAGGTTATTATTACAAACCCAGCAGCCCCACAACAATGGCAAAGATGCTAAGAAAAGCCTCTAGAAAAATATTCACATTATGAAAATCCTGAATTAAGCCAGTATCTCCCTCCTAATTTCCCACCCTCAACATGGGGCAGGCAAATGACAGAGGCATCTGTGTCATACCTTAATCATGTACTTGTAGGCCTGCTCAGCTTCTAATTGCCGCCCAACCTGAAAAAAAGGACAGCAGCTGGTGATGATGACAGGTCATAAACATTATGGTAAGGAAAATACATTGCCTCAGTTAAGGCAGAGGAACCTACACCTAAGGCAGAGGCTTCTACACCTTCCAGTTAAAACTTCTGAATTCAGAGGGAAAGCCAGCAAATGAAAGATGGTAGGGAGAAAAAGGTTTTTTTTAAAAAAAAAAAAAATCCTCCTGGCTGGGCACAGTGGCTCATGCCTGTAATCCTAGCACTTTGGGAGGCCGAGGCGGGTGAATCACGAGGTCAGGAGATTGAGATCATCTTGGCTAACACGGTGAAACCGCATCTCTACTAAAAATACACAAAATTAGCTGAGTGTGGTGGCACGTGCCTATAGTCCCAGCTACTCGCAAGGCTGAGACAGGAGAATCGCTTGAACCCAGGAGGTGGAGGTTGCAGTGAGTTGAGATTGTGCCACTGCACTCCAGCGTGGGCGACAGAGTGAGACTCCATCTCAAAAAAAAAAAAAAAAGGAAAAAAAATTCCTCCTTCATTTTGAAAAGCTTAAAGATAACCTGGCCTCTCACCTTTTTGAAAGCACCATGAGTCATTTGTTCCTCTTACGATTGAAGCCATTCTGTTAATAATAATTAACACTTACCAGTCCATACTATGTGATTTACATTGTTTTCATTATTGATATTGTTTTTAGTGCTTTAAGTTCATTCTTAATCCTCAAGACCTAGGAGATAACTACTGTTATTTATTATTCCCAGTTTACAGAGAGGATAAGTAACTTGCGAGGGTTATGAAGCTAGTAAGTAGAGGAGCCAGGTTTAAAACAATGCAGTTTGACTCCAGAGTCCAAGTTTTTAACTACTACATTACTCTGTCTCTAGGAATTAGAAAAAGTAGGTATCAGAATTACTTCTATGAAGATCTGGATATAAGATAAGAACACTACTCCCCCCAGTTGATATTATTCTTTGCATGAAGCACTCCTCCAGAAGTTAAATGAGATAATATGAATCCACTATTCTACTTCTTGAGTTTGTCACATAGTAACTAACTTAGAGTATCCAAAGTCACTTAGTAAAGCTTAAATATGTAAGAACCACAGAATGTTCAGGTCTGAAGGGGACCTGGGGAATATCTAGTCCAATTTTCTGACTAATGCTAGTCCATATGAAAGTTTTACTAGTTCACAAAACTTTCATACCCTGAACCCTTACTTCCTACAAATCTACACTTTGAAATGTTCCCACCTGAAGTTCACTGAATTGCCAGCAGCATTTTCCAGCACACCTTCCCTTCCTACCACTATTACTTTGTTTCCCTCCTGCCACAAGGAGGCAGAGGCCCAAATGATGTGAAGATCCAGAATAGCCAAAACAATTTTGAAAAATAATTTTTCTGCTATCATGAACACTGCTGCAGTAAACATACTTGTACTTATCTTCTTCTTCTTCTCCTTCCTCTTTTTGTTTTGAGACAAAGTCTCACTGTCACCCAAGCTGGAGTGCAATGGCACGATCTGAGCACTCTCACGATCTCAACACTGCAACCTCTGCCCCCTGGGTTCAAGCGATTCTCCTGCCTCAGCCTCCTGAGTAGCTGGGATTACAGATGTTATACATATCTTCTTGTATTTTTCTTAGGATTATATCTAGCTATTGCATTGCCAAATTGTAGATACTAATATAACTAAATGATGCCACATTGTACTTAAAAGTGGTTGTGCCAATTTACATCCAATTGCAATTATGAGAATCTTCATCAGTGCTTGTTGCAGGAAGTCAGGGACCCTGAATGGAGGGACCAGCTGGAGCCATGGCAGAAGAACATAAATCGTGAAGATTTCATGGACATTTATTAGTTCCCCAAATTAATACTTTCATAATTTCTTACACCTGTCTTTAGTGCAGTCTGTGAACATAAATTGTGAAGATTTCATGGACATATATCACTTCCCCAATCAATACTCTTATAATTTCCTATGCCTATCTTTACTTTAATCTCTTAATCCCGTCATCTTCATAAACTGAGGATGTATGTCGCCTCAGGATCCTGTGATGATTGTGTTATCTTCACAAATTGTTTGTAGAGCATGTGTGTTTGAACAATATGAAATCTGGGCATCCAAAAGGAACAGGATGGCTGCAATTTTCAGGGAACAAGGGAGATAACTATTGGTCCTCACTGCCTGTGGGGCCAGAGAGAACACAGTCATATTTCTCTTCTTACAAAGGCGAATAGGAGAAATATCGCTAAATTCTTTTTCTCAGGAGGGAACAGCCCTGAGAAAGAGAATGCATTCCCAGGGGTATGTCTCTAAAATGGCTGCTCTGGGAGTGTCTGTCTTATACGGTTGCAGAAAAGGGATGAAATAAGTCCCAGTCTCCTGTAGCGCCCCCAGGCTAATTAGGATTAGGAAATTCCTGCCTAGTAAATTTTAGTCAGACCAGTTGTCTGCTCTCAAACCCTGTCTCCTGATAAGATGTTATCAATGATAATGCGTGCCCAGTGGGACATGAAATTTCATCAGCAATTCTAATTTCGCCTTGGTCTTGTGATCTCGCTCTGCCCCCATTTGCCTTGTGATATTTTATTCCCCTTGAAGAATGTGATCTCTGTGACCCACACCCTATTTGTACACCCCTCCCCTTTTGAAATCCATAATAAAAACTTGCTGGTTTTGCAGCTCAGGGGGCATCACGGAACCTGCCGACATGGGAGGTCTCCCCCGAACACCCAGCTTTAAAATTTCTCCTTTTGTACTCTTTCCCTTTATTTCTCAGACCGGCCGACACTTAGGGAAAATAGAAAAGAACCTACATTGAAATACTGGGGGCTGGTTCCCCCGATAAGTGCTAATACCATACTTAAATTTTTGCCAATCTGATGGCTGTGAATTTCTGCCACATCATTATTCTAAGTTGCATTCTTATGCTTACTAGTGACACAGAGCTTTTTCTCATACATGTATTAACTTTTACAATCTCCACATTAGCAAACTGCATATTCCTATGTTGTCCCCCATGCCCCTCCCCCTCCTTTTTTTTTTCTTTTTTGAGACAGGGTCTGGCTCTGTCATTTAGGCTGGAGTGCAGTGGCACAATCACAGCTCACTGAAGCCTCAACCTTCCAGGCTCAAGTGATTTTCCCACAGTTTTAAAGTTGGAAACTCAGGTATAAAAAATGACACTAAAATAAAGTTTAAGGACTTTATTATAAATATTTACAGAATTTATAACAGAGGATTAGCATCCAGGTTATATAAACAGCTGCTACAATAAGGAAAATCTCTACAATCTGATTTTAAAATGGGCACAGGGCTGGGTGCAGTGGTTCATGCCTGTAATCCCTGCACTTTGAGAGGCTGAGGGGGAAAGACTGCATGAGCCCAGGTGTTTAAGACCAGCCTGGGCAACACGGTGAGACTCTGTCTCTATAAAAAATGAAAAAATTAGGCGTGGTGGCACACATCTGTTGTCCCAGCTACTTGGGGGGCTGAGGCAGTAGGATCACTTGAGCCCAGTAGGTCGAGGCAGCAAGTGAGCTATGTTCCTGCCACTGCACTCCAGCCTGGGTACCAGAGCAAGAGCCTGTCTCAAGAAAAAAGGAAAAAAAAAGGACTCAGATCTTAGATCTTTAGGGTTGGGCACAGAGGCTCATGCCTGTAATCACAGCTCTTCGGAAAGCTGAGGCATGAGGATTACTTGAGGCCAGGAGTTCAAGACTAGCCTGGGCAACATAGTGAGACTCTGTCTCTACACAAAATAAAATAAAATAAATTATCCAGGAGTGGTGGTGCATGCCTGTAGTCCCAGCTACTCCGGAGGCTGAAGCAGGAGGATCCCTTGAGCCCAGGATCATCCCACTGCACTGCACTCCAGCCTCAGCAACAGAGCAAGACCCTATCTCTTAAGAAAAAAAACTTAGGTCTTTAAACCAGTTGGAATTGTGTGTGGTGTGAGGTAAGGAACTAATTTTTTTTTTTAATGTGGATAGTAGCCAGTTGTCCTATCACCATTTAGTGAAGAATCCATCTGTTTCTCATTTTGCAGGTGCTATATAGTGTCTTTATAAAAAATAGCTATATTAAGGCATAACTTACATGCCATAAAATTCACTAATTTTAATGTTATGTTGTGCAAGCATCAGCACAATCCAGTGTTAGAAGACTCCTAGTACTCCAAAAAGTTTTTTCATGCCTGTTTGCACTTACTCTCCATCCTCACCTTTGGCTCCAGGCAACCATTGATCTATTTTCCTTATTTCAAGTAAATAGAATCAAATAATATATAGTCTTCTGTGCCTTGCTTTTTTCACTTACCATAATATTTTTGAGGTTTATCCATATTATTACATGAATCAGAATTTCATTTTAACTGCTGAGTAGTACTCCATTGTGTAAATATTCCTCATTTTGTTTACCCATTCACTGATGGACATGTAAAATGTTCCCAGTTTTGTGCTATTATTAAATGCTGTGATAAAAATTCATATACAAATTTTTGTGTGGACATATGTGTTCATTTCTCTTAGTTAGATATAGAGAAGTAGAATTGCTGGGACATATGGTAAATATATGTAACTTTTTTAGAATCTGACAAACTGTTTACCAAAGTGTTGTACCAATTTACAACCCTATCAGTAATGTATGAGGATTCCAGTTTATCACATCCTTGTTACTACTTGGCATTGTCTATCTTTTTTTTTTTTGAGACAAGATCTCATTCTGTCACCCAGGCTGGAGTGCAGTGGTGCCATCACAGGGGCTCACTGCAGCCTCAACCTTCCAGGATCAGGTGATTCTCTCATCTCAGCCTCCCAAGCACCTGGGACTACAGTCACCCGCCACCACACCTGGCTAATCTTTGTATTTTTAAAATTTTTTTTATTTTTTATTTACTGTATTAGTCAGTTTTCATGCTGCTGATAAAAACATACCAAAGACTGGGCAATTTACAAAGGAAAGAGGTTTAACTGGACTCACAATTCCAAGTGGCTGGGGAGGCCTCA